GGAGCGTTTTGTCGGGCTCGCTGACGGGCCCCGGCTGCCTAATAAGGGCGAATAGGAGCCGGCTGCATTCCCCGACGGGACAGAGAGGATAGGGTTGGCGGGGCGGGTCGCCCGTCCTCTGCCCCCCCCCCCTCTCTTCCCCTAATGAGGGTGTCCGCAAGCCCACTCACCCGTGTCGAGCTGCGAGCGCTCTGGCGCCGGTGCCCTGCATCACTTTTCAACCAACAGCGTTTTCTTCATCTACAAATCATCTCATCTTTAGATTCGGGGTAATTATACGGTGGTAAATGTAAAAGCAAAGAGTTTTGTACACATCTGTTTGTTTATTTCAAGTAAGTGTAGGTTGTATATACAGGGAATATACAGGGTATATTACATATGGGATGATTCCCATTAAGGTGCCCCCACAATGAGCGCGAGGCGATGCCGGGTAGGCGATGCCGTGCAGCCAGGCCGTGCTTGCAGGCCGTGCCGGCAGGTACCGACTTTTATGCGAATACAGCTTTACTTAGAAGATGGGAGGCGTAGCTCCGCGCAACCGGCACGGCCTGCAAGCACGGCCTGGCTGTACGGCATCGCCTCGCGCTCATTGTGGGGGCACCTTTACTGTTTAGACAAAAAAGAGGGTTGTAGACCAAAAAACACAAACAATCAAACATGCTAATAGTCGAGGACTTGCAAACAGTAGTCATTAAAGAAACTGTAACTTTATAAATAAATATTGCGTATCTTGTTTCAGAACCATTTTCAATAGGAGTACGGCCCTTCCAAATACAGTATAAGCACAGACTACTCACACATGCAAACCTTTTAGATCCAGCTTAAAGAAAGCTGTTCTGATAAAGCAAGCAATTTTTTTAAAAATCTCATCAGAGGATATTATTTACAAGAAGTTTAGGTTGCCATTCCCAAACAGAAAAGAAGGTCAAAGCAAGTTTTTCATCAATTGTTTTTCTTTTCCAAAAAGAAATATAAATGTACCACTAGATTCAAATCTCCAGGTGGATTTTGATGAATTAATGTTTTGGAAGGAATAATAGAGTATGTATAAATAATCATTCCAAGAATCATCTTAAATCACAGGGAAGTTTTTATTTTTATTAAGAACAAATCTGGTTTAATATGGAATGAAAAAAAAAGCCTAATGTGCACAGGTGCCTACAAATTACAAAGGGATCACAGTGCATTAGTCCTCAGACAGGACTGGAGCAATTAAAGAGCAACAGAATAAGCTTAGTTATTCACACCAAGAGCCTTTAGAACAATCATAAAGTACTGGCAACTAAGAACACATGTCAGTGTCTCTTGGATTTTAATTCAGTACTAATCCAAATTACACTGTGGCAGAAAACAAGTCAAACAACTGCATCACAATAATAGAGATTTTTTTCAAAATAGCACATATCAACTAGCTCCTCATAATGATCTTTTGAGCACAAGCCAAAAACAAATATCACAAAAGGAATGCAATTTAAAGGATGAGGAGTGCTAACAGACGGCTAAAGCTTTAGCTAGGATCCACATTAGTACTTTTATAGATATCCGCTGACAATGTTAATTTCCACATTGACACTGCAGCAGATGAAAAAGTGATATTAGGATGTCAAGCATCCATACTTTAACTTTACTAGATACCTTTACCTGCACATAATGGTAAGTGCAGGAGTCACACAAACAACATCAAAACCAATGAACAGCAGCAGAACTGTCTCAATTACCTGCGGGAAAGAAAAACTAAAATATCACACTCTTCCAGAAAATAATCCTTACAGAAGATAAAAAGTAAAACTTAAGATTATCCTCCCAGATTAGATTATTATAGGTATTTAAACTTAAGGAGCACAGTAAAACAATGACAGCCTCAATTGGCAAAGGCAAGGCAAGTATAAAATCACCAATAGCAATTTAAAATAGGTGATAAATTATTTATTACACAGTCTTAATGAAAAGGAAACTGATAATTATTTTATCTTAAGAGCAGTCTATTTGGATGAGAAAAATGACATGAAATTATTGAGACTGTTGCTGCTGTTGGGGCTTGGGCTTAATATGCTCTGCAGTACGTCCAAGGAGGTCAAAACGTGATGGTGGAGGAAACTCACAATCCGAATCAGAGCTATCATCAGAATCGCTGCTGTCAGGGTATGAACCCAATCCTGGTAGCACTCCAACACACTTCAAAGTTGAAGGAAGAATTATTCCTGCTGGTTTTATCAAACTGGTTGATCCAGACTCATCAGATTTGCCTGAAAACAATGTTTTTGGTCAAATACAGAACTGAATACAGACAGGGTTTACATTTTTAATGGATAAGAGCCTCATACTCAATGAACTCACTTGTTTCAGCGGGCAATTTTTCTTCACTTTCAGTTTCCTCTGTTGTAGTTTCAACAGTCTTAGAATCCAAGTTGGCTTTTTTGGAGGGAGGCGTAGGTTCATTTGATGGCCTCTTCCGCACAACGGCTCCAGCAAGAAGTTTCATTTGTGAGCTGCGATTGCTGTAGGGAAGAGGGAAACCAACTTTAGATCAAATCTAGTTCTCGTCAGTACATAGACAATAATACCAATAGAAATTTTAGATCGGTACCTTGCTGTTTTATTTGGCAATACAGGATTTCGGATCTCTGACTTTAGTCTCTCCTCAACATTTTTCTCAGCTAATGTAGCTACAGCATTACGAAAATCATCCATTTCTTTCCGTTCTTCCAATCGAGTTTGTTTTTCTACAGTCTCCTTTACTCTCTCAACAGTGTCAAGAAAGTCAACTTCATCATCATCAAGACCTCTGACCATGTTCTCTGAAAATGACCCATAACCAAATGAAACATTAAGAAATAATAAATCTTTACAACTGTATTTGCTTTTGAATGTTAAAGATATGCCTACTAAGTTTGTGAGCCTCTTCAAATTCATCATCTTTCTTTTTACGTTGTTCCTCTAGCCTTTCATAAAGAGACCTGGGGTCATAAACTTCTTCAGGGGCCTCTGAAATAGAAATGCAAAATTTAAAGGCAATTCTTTTGTGCGTAACTTTTAAATATTCACCATTTAAGATGCTTACCCACGGGTTGATCTGCTGTTCTCACTTTATCCCATTCTTCTTGTCGTTTTTGTCGCCGTTCCTCAAGCTCCTTTTCAGAAACGAACCCAGAACTCATGATGAGAAGTATGTTTCCTACAAACAATTAGAAAACACAAAGGGTGAGTATAAATAGACAAGTTGCTTCTATAGGCCTTCCAATTATTTATTTTTTGTGTTAAGTGGCATCCGTCATGTAACCAGAGACAGACAACTGACAAAAGGAATTAGGGACAGAGTTATAAATTGGATCATTCAAAAAATACTAAAAGATCATACAGAAACAGAAAAACAGAATATTCTTCGGATGTAAATATAAGAAAATCATAAAATGTTCAGGCTCACATAGAGAGCCGAATGTTTGGAACAAATGTCATGTATAATAAGAAAACCTTAAACAGAAGTAAACACGACGCGCCGAGTCGTTATTTGGTCTTCCAAGAGTGAAAGCAGAAAACGTTGCGCTTCAAAACATTTTGAATGCAACGATACCGAGAGGAGATAAGTCACACAAAATATAGGTTAGAATGTTTGTGATGGTTGCGAGACTACCCGCTAGCTCGCCGACTGATGATCGATATCTCGATAAGGGCGGCAGTTACGAATTCATGAATTCGAATTCATTTGAGAGAGCAAATAGTGTGTGAGAATAGGAATAAAGTCTATCGCCGTTGAAGTTTAACAACTTGTCGTTTATTATGCTATAATTAGTAACAGCCATATCTCTTAGACGCACATCTAGAATAAATCACATTTTAAATAAGTTATAATTCAATAAAACATTGGCATCACTACTTCCCTATCTGCACCACTTGTGCGAATCTTCATACTATCCCACTACTAAAACTTTCCCCATTACAGTGAGCCACAACAAACATAAGAAACAACCTTAATACAGGTATTAACAATTTAAAAATCAGTCTCCAATCCATCGACCACTACCAAGATAAATAAAATATTAGTAAATGTTGGGTAGGGACTTCCCCATCCCCTAAAGAACTTAACAATTAATTCCTACTACTCCCTCCCCTTTTACAACGAAACTTAAACCACTGAATTGACTAGAATCAGTATTGGGTAACTGCAGCACTTTATCTCTCCTCTCACTTTCATTAATTAAGAACCGAAGGGTATGTCGTCTGACATCACGCGCTCGCACTTGCGAACGGGGACAACAACGGATCTTGTTGTTTCCGGTCGAGTCTGCGCAGTCCTCAGGCGGCGGGCTTGCACAGGCAGGTGTCTTTGATCTGCTCGCGGATCCAGGGGAGGAACTTGTGCACGCGGGTGTACACGCCGGGGAAGTTGGGCCGCGCGCATCCGCGCCCCCACGACACGATCCCTGTAGAACAGGACAGCGTTGAGCTCGCACTAGAGACCGCGGGGATGGAACTGGAAGGACGAATCTAAGTTCTAGGCGCCATGCACTCACCGATGACCTCCGCACTGGGGCTGTCCTCGGCGCCGAGGACGAGGGGGCCGCCGCTGTCTCCCTGAAAGCAGCAGTGGGTTAGAGGGCGCCCGGGAGGTAGACCACCCAAGCGACGCGGCTTCAGCGAGCGCGGCCTACCTGGCAGGCGTCCTTCAGGCCCTTCGGGAAGCCGGCGCAGATCATGTTGTCGGTGATGCGCGTGGACGGGTAGCCGGCCTTCTTGCAGTCCTCCTCGGACATGAGGGCCACCTCCACCTTGCGCAGCACGTCCGACACGGGCCTGCGCTCGCCGGTGCGGCCCCAGCCCGTGACCGTGCCCATCTGGCCCGCGTACTCGCGCTCCGCCCCGGGCAGGCACACGGTGCGCGCCAGCTCGCCCTCGCCGTCAATGTGCACCTCGCGGCTCAGCTCCAGGATGGCGATGTCGTTGTTGAAGTTGGACACGTCGAAGCGTTCGTGCACCGAGACCTTGGCGAGCTTGCGCTCGATGCGGCCGGGAGCCCAGCGCGACGAGGAGCGGTTGTGCACGCCCATGGTCACCGTGATGTCCTTGGGGGTCATGCTGCACCGGCGAGGCGGGGCGTGGCGGGGCGTGGCGTGCAAGCGGAGAGGGAACCCGTCAGTCAACGTGTCGTCGCCCCGGGCGCGGCTGGCGCGGCCCGCGAGCGTGGCCCTGGGGGAGCGGCGGCCCGCCGGCGGTACTTACCCGTACATGCAGTGGGCCGCCGTGAGGACGTGCTTCTTGGAGATGAGCGCGCCGCCGCAGTAGAACTTGCCCCGGCGGGACAGCGCGGCCAGCCAGGGGTACTCGCCCTCCTTGGCCTCCTCGCCGCCCACGATGCGCGTCCGCCGCGCGAGCCCGCACACTGGAGACACACCCCACGGTAACCGACGCTCTCGACCCGCACAAGCAGAGCCCGTCGAAGTACTCACCGCAGTTGCAGCCGTCAGCCGCCGGCTCGCTGGTCGTCGACGTGCCCGTCTCGTTGTAGTGCGTCTGGACGCTGGAGGTCGGCAGCGCTGGGATGTCCGCCCGCTGCCCGTCCGAGAAAGAAGAACACGGTAAAGATCCTCGTGAGGAGTCCGCCGACCCACGGCTGAACAACTCAGAGACTGGGCAAAGCACGCACCGGGGACGCCGCGACGACGGCGGCGGGCACGAGGACCAGCACCGCGAGCAGGAGGGTGTTGTTGGAGGGGGCCATCGCGGTGGTCGAGCACTGTGCACTGGGAGCTGTTGTTCGGGATCACCGGTGTGCACCTGCAGCTGTCGCAATGCTCGTCCTGCTGCAGCTGCGTGCTGCTGTGGGTGGGCGGCGAGGGAGACTGTGACACCTGCAGGTGCCGCGTACCGTTTTATGTCGGGCGACGCGAGGCGCCGCGGTGCGCCGGGCCGCCGCGGGCGACGCGCGACTCTCCGAGCGCCGGTGCCGCGCGATCGGCGTAACGCCGACCGAACGCGACGTAACGCGACGTAACGCCGCGTAACGCGGCGGCCGCGGCGGCCAGGTTCAATGGCACGGCCGTATGCAAGCGCAGACCTCCCGCTCGCTCCCAGCGCAGAGAGCCCCCCGGAGCAGAGCGCGCAGCGAGCGGGGCGCAGCCGGCGGCGGGGAGCCACGAGCCACCGGGCAGGAGAGGGCCGCCGAGTGGCGCCATAAGAGGGCTGCTTATCAACCCTTACGGATAAGTCCGGTGCGCTATGAACAAGCAGTCAGAAATCCTTTCTGAAGCTAAGGGACATAACCGTCGCGCCACCCACACATCCTGACAGTGGGGCACACAAATGTCTCGTGCACGTTAGGAGAATAACAACAGGTCGAAGCCGTTCAAAGCAAGTTGAATTCATGCAAAATAATTTGTATAAAAACGACGCGGCACATTTTGAGTGTTTATGAGCGTGCGTGTGTGGGAGGTTGCGGGGAAGGGGGGAGGGGTGCAGAGAGACGCCAGTGAAGGCGCCTCATTTGAATACGAACACCGTGTGTAACGAAGTGGCAGTGGCACCGGTGACAGTGGAAGCAATGGGACACCATGTTCGGTTCGGCACAGCGATTTCGGAGGAGTGAAGAGTTCGACGAACCGATCCGTCGAGACCGTGCTGCATGCGAGGGGATTCCAGCCGTTGAACCTGGACCTTGTCGTGAGTCATGGTCCTCTGCAGAAAAACGTTTGAACTCTAAATTAATAAGGAGGGCCAAGGGCCAACGCCAAATAGTGAACGGCTAGCAAGCTTTCTTAGGTCGGTTTAAATTATTTGCTCGTCCTTGACGTGGCCTGCCTGCCAAAACTACAATGATAATAATAATTAAAGAAAATCATCCCCCCCCCCCCGTGTGGGTAGTGCGCGCCGGTGTCATCGTGTAGGAGAGACGCACTTCGCACTACGCATCAGGCAGACACACCGGGCCCATGCACTTGGCGATGTGTGTCAAGAGCACGCAAGGTCGAGGCGGGCTGGGCCGGCGCGCCGCCGGGTGGGTGGGTTGGTGGTGGGTGCCACCACCACCAGGTCCCAACCGCGGCGACCCCAGCCGATGCGCGGCCAGGCGCACGCCGCCGCGGATCCCGCCCAGACACCCGCATCGCCACCCA